TCTCTCTCTCTCTCTCTCTCTCTCTCTCTCTCTCTCTCTCTCTCTCTCTCTCTCTCTCTCTCTCTCTCTCTCTCTCTGTTGTCTTCTCCTACTCTAATTGTCTCCTTCTGTCTTTGTGTGTGTGCGTGTCCACCAATCAACCTCGATTAACTGACTCGTTGACTGATTGATTGATTGACTGACTGGTTGATTGATTGATTGATTGATTGATGGCAAGAAACTGAAAGAAAAGGAAGAAAAAAAGAAAGGAAAGAAAGAGAACAAAGAGGTAAGAAAAAGTAGAGAAAGAAGAGAGGAAGCACAAAGAAAGAAAATACAAGGGAAAGGGGCGAGGGAGTGGGATCGGGCGCCCGTTTTCTACTTCCCCAACGATATCCTACCGCCTGTCAATTTCGATTTCGCCCCTTGGCTTTCCCCCATTCTCCCACCCTTGCTCCCCGCCAACCGAACCACGACTGAGTCTTTGATCGAATCATGTAAACCAGGTGACGGGGATGGGACGCCTGCTTTCAGAAAAAAAAAAAAAAAAAAAACGGGATAGGACACCTGCAGGCAAGCAAGAAATGACAAGGGAGCTGATGCCAGCCATCCAAACGCAAAGCTGGAAAGCGTCGAGGGTTCTGTGCACTAACCTTTGTTCTGGACAAGCTGCCTACGACTCCACTGTTGCCGTCACTACGCTCTCTCTCTCTCTCTCTCTCTCTCTCTCTCTCTCTCTCTCTCTCTCTCACACACACACACACACACACACACACACACACACACACAAACAACACAGGCCTCGTTCACACTCTTTCACAGCTGTGTTTGGTCTGGGTGAATGCCTGCGTCCGCAGGCGTTCGCAGGTGTCGAGTGTTTGTGTGCGTTTCTTTACGTGCGGCTGTGAATGGCAAAGGGAACGTCGTCCGCGCCGGCGATCACTAGGAGGTTGCCGATGAGCAGCACGTATATCGCCAAACATTTGCATTCACACGCACGCGTCAACAAAAAAGGTCCTGAATATAAATTTTCTGTGCTCAAGGCCCGTGACTCACAATTTTTTTTGTGTGGGGGGGGGCAAAAAGCCCATTTGCAAGGACTTCTTGGTGTTACAGAATGATGCCTGGTGCCTCGCTTGCTCGGCGGGCCTCCCCAAGACTTGTTACGACCAAAGAAGAAACTACCTGATCCTACATTCGTTAGTAGACGAACTTTTGAAGAAAAATTGGGATCCCACATGGTTCCCGGTCGGAAGGCTTTGGAAAATAAAACGCCTGTTTCTACTCTCAAGATGGTGCGTGTCGCGACGGGCGGCAATTTTCGCGAAGTTCTCTTTCGTTCGCCATGGCCCGGTTCTGTGTCCTCGGTCCACTGAATTGTCTAACGCGCGCCGCTCTGAAGAACCCGGCCTGTCCGGAGGTCGACGCCCATCCCAAATCGGCTAGTCAGCCGTAAATGCCCCGCAGTATCCGCCCTTGTGGGATCCATTTTTTTTTTTACGAATCATGAGGAACGGGCCCGACTTGTAAGGAGCTTTTCTGATTTTTTGGTAAGAGTTCGTTGTGGGATCCTCCTCTAAATCAACGGTCCTACATCTCAGGGCATACTCAGACGGGACTCGAACACGGATTGGTGGAGTGGTGCGCCCTGGATCGCGAGGAGGCGGGTGGGTATGCAGGGTGTTCGGCCCCTGCCGCGCGGGCGGTGGGGTGTCACTGCTGGTTCATGAAGACATCAAGTGGTAAAAGTGCTGTGTTCGGGATAGGTCTTCGTCTCAGGCTTGGATCTCCGTTGTCATTCCTTTTTTGGTGGGATGTGGTCAGGGTTGCTCTGCAGGGGCTTTATCATGGAGGGCGGTGAAGTCTCCATTTGGGAGTGGACGCAGATACGGTGAGTAGATTACCCTGAATCGCAAGGAGATGGGTGGGTTCAGCGGGGTCATTGACCCCTGCCGCGCGGGCGGTAGTGTAATTTACTGGATTGCAAAAACAGCATCGTGGTGGGAGTCGGTGTTTTTGGTAGCGGTTGTGTGGGCTGTGGGGCTATCCGCTCTGAATCGTGAGGAGGTGGGTGGGTTTGCGGGGTCTGCACCTGCAGTTGGGGCCTCCAGGGGATGGCCCCTGCCGCGCGGGTGGCAGGGCAATATAGAAGGGTTTGTGATAAGCTAGGATCCGTACTCAGCGGCTTCCCGTGCCCTTCGGGGGGGAAATCCAAAGTAAGCCTCTAAGTGCGGATTCTGGTTGATCGAAAGAAGCGGGGTCTATTCATCAATAGTAGAGGGGCGTAAAGGAAACTTGCATCTTTCAGAACTGTCCCTGTTGATTTCTCCATAAGGACGATTAGCGACCACACCGAGAGATCCAAGAAACGGTTAGGAATTAGTGTGGTCGGAATTTTTAATTTTCTTCGTAATAAGGCGCGCGCGACCGTTTTTCAAATTTCTTGCGTGTTGCACAAACCCGCTTCCTGCTCTGCTTCTACGTGTCATCTTCCCTTCTTGCTGCATGGTCCTTTGTGCGTGTCTCTTCGTCCTCCCCCACGTTACGCCCGATACCTATCAACGCGAGTGATTGGTTGTCTAGTTGGGATGGGCGGATCAATGTGGTGAAAGCGGAGCACGCACATCGTTTGAATGACCACCCCAATTACACAAAACTTTCGACTTGCCTCATTTGATCCTCCTAAAATCCCCCCCTTTCTTTTGTCCTGCTCATCTACACCCCTTGCTACCCGCACCTCGCGCTGGCACTCCGTCGATTTCCACGCTATAAATTCTCACAGTCCCTTCCTCTCCTCCTCTTTGATCTCGACTGCAATGCTGTGCGAGCTATGTGCGAAGTCCGCGGCATCGAACAAGCTCGACGTGCCTAGTGACAGGCGGAGTGACGACATGGGTTGGAACTAGTGGTAGACTTGGGGTAAGACAGTCAGAGTGACGGAGCGCCGGGAGCGGTGGTGGAGATCGGACGCCGCCAGCGACAGGGCCTTGTGGCTATGGTTGGTTGATATTCGGACTGATTGAGGGCTATGAAACACCCGCGCACGCGTCGTTGGGGTCGAGCTCGGATGGCGGCCGTATATACGATCGCGTCCGCGGCCGACCTCGTCCGCGCCGCGGACGCGAATTTACCATATTTTTCCTGAATTAAATAATGGGTAAAATATATATATATATATATATCAGCCTCCTGATGAGTTGGTGAAACTCCGACGAAACAGTTTGTCACAGCCCCTCGTTTGTTGTCCTCTTCTCTCTCTCTGCCTACGGTTTACCGGGCAGTTCTGTTTGTGACGATATATATATATATATATATATATCGGCAAATAGAACTGCCCGGTAAACCGTAGTATATATATATATATATATATATATATATATATATATATATATATGAGGTTGTAAGGATTTTTAATCCCTACAACCCAATTTTTTTTTTTTGGAAACAGATAAGTTTTTAGAATTATAAAAAAAAAACAGAAAGGGCGGAGAAGAGACATTGAAAATAAATTAAAAAAAAAAAATTCTTTTGGGGGGGGGATTTTTGAATGGCAGTT